GTGGGCGTGGGTTTGGGCGTGGGTTTGGGGGTGGGTTTGACGGTGGGTTTTGGGGTGGGTTTGGATGTGGGTTTGGGCGTGGGTTTGGGCGTGGGGTTGGGGGTGGGCTTGGGCGTGGGTTTGGGCGTGGGTTTGGGCTTGGGTTTGGGCGTGGGTTTAGGCGTGGGTTTGAACGTGGGTTTTGGGCGTGGGTTTGCGCGTGGGTTTGGGCGTGGACGTGGGTTTGGGCGTGGGTTTGGGCGTGGGTTGGGGCGTGGGTTTGGCGTGGGTTTGGCGTGGGTTTGGCGTGGGTTTGGGCGTAGGTTTGGGCGTTGGTTTGGACGTGGGTGTGGGTTTGGGTGTGGGTTTGGGCGTGGGTTTGGGCGTGGGTTACTAGTGGCGTGGGTGTGGGTTTGGGTGTGGGTTACTAGTGGGCATGGGTTTGGGCATGGGCTTGGGCGTGGGTTTGGACGTGGGTGTGGGTTTGGGCGTAGGTTTGGGCGTGGGTTTGGGCGTGGGTTTGGGCATGGGCGTGGGTTTGGGCGTGGGTTTGGGCGTGGGTTGGGGAGTGGGTTGGGGAGTGGGTTCGGGCGTGGGTTTGGGAGTGGGTTTGGGCGTGGGTTTGGGCGTGGGCTTGGGTTTGGGCTTGGGTTTGGGCGTGGGTTAGGGCGTGGGTTTGGGCATGGGTTTGGGCGTCGGTTTGGGTGTGGGTTTGGGCGTGTGTTTCTAATCAATCAATCAAGACTAATCAGCTACTTAGTCCCCGCAGACGTGTCAGATCAAGTTGTCCTGATTCACGTGCGGTGTTCCGATACCAACTATTACATGCCCAGTTGGGCGATGTACATAATAAACCGAGGATCCGCAATGTGCAAGGAACATGAGTGTGAACGAAGTACAGAAATCCAAATTGCAAATCACCCTGAAGTCCATGTAGTCAAGCAAAGAGCAGATAGCACATTGGAACCAAGAAACCATCCATTTTGAGAAGAATACAGCCGAATCGAGAGTCAATGTCCAAGCCCGAAGGGCAACACCAACATTAGAACCCAATGTAGCTCTCACTTCGAATGGCGTCGGGCACCCTATCTACTCTACAGCCTATCCCTACAACTACAGCATGACGCAATCAGGACGACTTGAAGACCAGCGTGCTTGACGTCAACACCAATGCCGACCTCCTCTCGCACACCAGGTAAGTATTCACTCGCTCCCCTCTTCTCTTCCCTGACTCCCACTCATTGTCTCCTCCTTCTGAAGTCCACCTTCGCCCTCATCTCCTTCTGCGCCCTCCTGCAGCCCGGCTATGGCTGCCAGCGCCTGCACCCCAGCTGCGCCCTACAGCTTAGCGCCAGCCAGCTTTCTCTCAGCCAGAGCATAGCGCACGCACCCGCGCTACAATGCAGCAGCGTGCCCACAATGCCAGCATTGGCCAAGCTCCTTGCCCACTCGCACATTCTGCCTTTATGCCTTGCTGCGTGTGGGCGGCCTCCCTCGAGCCTGCGCTTGGGCCCAGGCCCAACACAGATGGGGCCCAGGTAGTGCAGTTGCGCTCCTTATGCCGGGGCCATCGTCCAGATTCAGACCCCGTTCCGGTTTCCCATTGGTTCGCTCGGCCTCTACGACACAATGTTGCTTTTCCATAGGCCAGCATCGAATGTGTGATGAGTCGGCCTGCCCAGGGCTCAACCAACTGAGGCCCTGGCTTAACTGCCTCTGCACGAGTCTGGGCTCACGATGCACTCCAACCAACTGGCGTGCAGGAACTGTCTGATACCCACTTCGTGAAATGAAGAAAGGAAGGCTTCTTGTGGATATTCTGGACCGCCTTCACTTAGGGTGGACACGAGGCTTGTTGGGGTCTCTAACCCATAACATGTGAATGTCGGCAAGGCCCCATTGAGGGCTCAATCCTCACAAATGTGATAAAAAGGACGGAATGGACAATGCAGTGCAAGTTGAATCTCAACAAGCAATGTGCATTCTGATACATACAAAATGGCGCCTTGTGGCGCAGCGGAAGACTTAGATACAAGTCCTGACCTGACCGGGACTGACCTCTTTCACGTAGTACAAATAGCACAGCAGAATGCTAGAATACCAATGACGAGACCAATCAATGTTGCAACGCAGACTAAACATACATCATCTCCATCACAAGGTGTGAAGGAGGCCTGGCGCCGCACACAGGAAGAATGCGCCAGGTCCTGATCATGCACAGACGAAGGAGGGGAGTGATGGGAAAGTCGTCAACACCAAGTCTTTGTTGCAAGTCCCAAATAATCCCTCATCAAAATGTCTGAAGCCCAAATGTCGAGTCTGGATCCAAATGTCACCAAGCTCTCTCTTTCTCTCGTAGTCTGCTGATGCAGTGAAGTCAGGTAGCGAGAGGGTGAGAGGGAGATGGTGGACTGAGAAGAGGAAGAAGAAGAAGTCTCTCTCTCTCTCTCTCACGTGCCAGGTACTAACCTGTGAAGTTGGCGCTGTGCTGCAGGTACAAGACGGAGCTGGAGCTCTGGCGCTGCAGGTAAGTCTCCCTGGCCTCCGTCCAATCTCTCTCTCTCTCTCTCTCTCTCTCTCTCTCTCTCTCTCTCTCTCTCTCTCTCTCTCGTACTGCTCTAGCTCCTATGGAGCCCAGCGCTGAAGACTATTGCTAACGCTACTAGCGCCCGACGCTGAAGACTACTGCTAGCGCTACAACTACTCCTGCAGCGCTCCACCAGAGTGCTGCTGCTGAATCCTGAAGACTACCTCCGGCCTCCTCAACTGTGAGTGAAGTGCCTGGGAAGTACCTAGGAACTACCTGCTGGCATGTAGGGCGGGCCAGTCCTATATAGTGCAGGCCCGTCCAGGAGGGAGGCTGCTCTTGCCAATGCCGAAACGTCCGAAGCACCTCCCCACCACCTCCCCGCCGAGCCGGCCGAAGCACCTACCCACCACCTCCCCACCGAGCCGGCCGAAGCACCTAC